TATATATATATATATATATATATATATATATATATATACTGAGCCACCGCAGCACGGTGGCTGAGTGGTTAGCACTCTCGCCTCTCAGCAAGAAGGTCCTGGGTTCAAATCCCGGTCAGTCCAGGGCCTTTCTGAGTGGAGTTTGCATGTTCTCCCCGTGACTGCGTAGGTTTCCTCCGGGTACTCCGGTTTCACCTACCACTAAAAATATGTACAATAGTTCTGGCATGCGCCTCCTGTTTGGCGACCCTGCTCCCATCTCTGTGTGGAGTGAGAGACAAATGCCCAAAAATAACAATTGTAAACCGCTTTGTGACTCTGGTCTGTGAAAGGCGGTATATAAAATAAAGATTACTTACTACTACTTACTACTTACTTACTATATACAGTGGGGCGGCTGCGGCTGAAGACTAATGCTGTGTCTTTAGGTAAGGCCCTTCCTCCACAGTGCAAAGTTTGGTGGTGGTCGGAGAGGCACATGGCACAGATCACTAGCCAAGGTTTTACCAGTCTGCCCCAGGACAGCTGCGGCCACTGTTTTACCATCACTGTATAAAGAGATACAGTACAAGTATGAGACCTTATTACAGAAGAGAATCACTCTAGTTCTAAGTATTCAGGGCTTATTCATTCAGTTTGAAGCACATGGTTGGAGCGGTTTTCTTTTCTACACCGGAAATATTCTTATGTTGCCATAAACACATTCAGTCCACATTTGCAAAAGCAAATACATTTTTTATAGAAACAGAACAATTCACAACACACCTCATATTTTATTTACACAATATTCTCTGAGATAGAGGTTTAAATACAGTAAACATCAGTACACGTTTGTACTGATGTCGAGAGAGCGAGAGTAATTCCCACAATGCAACATTATTAGCATCTTGTGTTTGTTTCTTGCTAAAGTACAATGAAAATACCAGAGGAGATAGTTAGAAGTTGCATGAGGAGTTATTTTTGTCTATATACGACCTTAGGTTAATGTGAAGCAAGTCGTTCATCGGAAATCTTTGGCCACACGTCTAAACTTCGAAGGTCAAAAACAAAGAAAGTATCTGTCGGGATAATTTGAACTCCTTTTCTCTTAAAAGGTCACGTCTGTCAATTCATTCCATTTATGTTTCCCGTGTCATGGACCGGGGCTATAACCATATTTCACTACAGTCTCTCTCGCATGAAAAAGTCAGAAAGTGAAGGATTCTTTGAGGCTACAACAGTGTTCCTTCATTTTATTAAGGCTTTTTTTTAATCAAGTTTTGCTAATCTTCCAAAGTACCCACTTATAAAAGAGTGTTTAAAAGTATCAGTGGCTTTGCTCCAACTATCTCTGGTGATTTGATTATATAAAACATTAATGTTATGGTGAGTCTGGTCTGAACCTGGAGACCGGAGGGAACGGGTGCAGTCTGAGTCCAGTGAGTCCGGTCTGAACCTGGAGACCGGAGGGAAAGGGTGCAGTCTGAGTCCAGTGAGTCCGGTCTGAACCTGGAGACCGGAGGAAATGGGTGGAGTCTGAGGTGTGCTCTTCCTTGGTTGGAACCAGTGGTTTTTTGTGTTTTTATTTCATATCACCACAGATTTCAATCAGACACTCCCTGAAAAGCTCTGTGAGGATTAGAAAAGGGTCCAACATTGCACAGACAAACAAACTAATTTGGCTGGAGCAGAGGAAGTTTTAGTTTTCACATAATAGTAAAGCAGATAGTAAACGGCACGTCTGACTTTAATATTTTGCAGCGATATCTTTGGTCATTGTTGGTTTCTTTGTATTTGTTTATTTGTATAGTGTATTGAACTGAGGCAGATTGTAGCTTTTCGTAGATAACTTCCTTATTCACACAGTCGCACTCACAAACACACACTGAGTCTAACCTTTCTCAAATTTGGTCAAATTAATCCTAATTTTAGCACATTGTGACTGCCTTAAAGCAACATTTGCCAATGGGACAAAGCAAAATGATCTCAATGATCTTCATAAAAGATACAAGAAATGTCTCGCTTGGAATGAGAAAAAAAAATGCAACAATTCTTGAAATAAGATTAAATGTTTTTTTTTCCCACTGGCAAATCTTGTTTTAAGACAGTACAAAAAAAAAGGTATATTGGAAGATTTTCTACTTCCAGGTGGATCATCGAGACTATTGGTCCTCCTATCTATCAATTATTCTGGTGACACGTGTTTTGTTTGAAAATTGGAGAGGGAGGTTCTTTCCTGAAATTTGGGAAGAAATTCAGAAAAAAACCTCACATTTTTATCATTTTTAACAGTACAACATCCTAGTTTCTGATTGTGATTCTTATTTTTTTTAAAAGCTATTATTTTTGCCCCCTGATAGCCCTGACTTTGCCTGCTCCACGCGGCTGAGTGCGGCTGCTTTGACCTGGCGGTGAGGCTTGTGCTCCTGCTGACTTCCACATGCCTTTGCTGAGAGCCCAGTGGTGTTAGTATGCACAGGGCCTCGCTCCAACATGGACCTCCAGACAGCAGGTCACAGCTAACCCTGACCCTGACATGTAGCCGATCCTTCTTTCGCTTACTGTTAATTCTCCAGCCGTGCACTTGCAACTCAAAGTGAAGCAGGAAGCTCAATTTGTGCCATTTATGACAGCTTAAATTAGCGTCCCGCCTGTATGTCCGACCGCCCCGCTTTAGTTAACATTTCTCTCGTGGGAGCAGAATGACCCCGGCTGAATTTGGAAACCTTTCACGGCTGGTTTTGCCTCGCAGCCACAGGTCGGACAAGGTTAAAACTGTGGAAAGAGGTGACAGGACGAAAAAAACTCCCGGATTAGTTCCTGTTAGTCCTGTTTTGACAGTGCCACCCAGTCATTCTGATGCAAGGGAGAGGAGGAGAAACGGTAGTGGATTTCTCGTGGGAGGTGACAGCTGAAGGCTTCGTCATCTGTTGATTCCCTTTAGCATGGAGCTTATAAATAAATATGGAACCTTGCGCACAGTGATATTATAAAACGCTCCAACTTCCAAGCCCTGTTGATCTATGAAAGTACGACTACACAGCCCACATGCAAAACCTCTGTACCAAAAGCTTTATTCTTTATCCAACCAATGAGGGAATATACATTTGGGAGACTACAATGTTATTTTGTGATTAGTAAAGTTACAACACTGTATTTCTGACTGCGTTAAAACAACGAGACAAAGCCATTTGGTCTTATTTCAAGAACTGTTGCTTTATTTTCTCATTCCAAGGGAGACGTTTCTAGAATCTTTTTAAAACAAGATGATTTTGCTTTGTTCCTTTGGCAAATGTTCTAAGGCTCAGTCAGAATGTGCTCGGATTAAGATAGATACCTTTTACCTATCTTACCTTTTTTTTCACCTTTCCTTTTGCAGTGAAGAAGACAAATGTATAATCAAGAAATACCTAAGTCCCCCCAAAAAACATGTGTCCGAATCTTCTTGTGAGGGTTTTTAATATCTCTTCATAGCCCACTCATGTCCTCATTTACATATGCATATACATGTAGAAGGGGAAGACGTCTAAACACTGCATTTGACCCAAGCCCCGCTGATTCAAGATGGCGTCCTGTTCAAATGAATGGCTTGTGCTCAGTAGTTCATGGGACTTCACAGAGACCGGGAGATCAGCAGAACTCGCCCATATTTGGGCATCGTCTGGTCCTCCTGGTTCTGCGTAGTTGATTATCTCCCATGATGCTTTGCGCCAAATACACGTGTGTGGCTCTCATGCACGTGCACAGAGGGGCTCGGCTGCACTCTGACCAATCAGAGCTGATCATCAGAGCGGAGTCAGAGCGGAGTCAGAGCGGGAAGGAAAGGAGCAGAGTTTGTGGCAGTAAAGTGTCGATTTAAAGAAAACCGAAGGATTTAAGAAAAAAAAAGTTCAGGACGACAAGGGACACTAACATCCACACAAAATCTGACCTTTATGAAAGCTGTAGGTTCTCTGTCAGGTTCTCTGTCAGGTTCTCTGTCAGCTGAGGTCGTGCTGTTTTAGTTTACATTGAGTTCTATGGGACTTTTTTCTGAGTAGCCCACGTGAATTTAGTCTGCAGTACCACAGCGCCCCCTGTGGCCATGGGTGGGACAGCTATAAGCTAGTAATACTAATAGTATTTGACCATAGAGCTACATTATATGAAAATCACAATTTTCAAAATGTTCATTCAATTCAATGTATTCTTGTTCAGCCCTAAATTACAACAGTAGTTATCTCTGAGGACTTTACACAACCGTTGATTTTGTCAACACAGATCAGAGAATCAAACCGTTCAAATAATACAACATAAAACACATTGGTATTGGTCCGTAAGCGTTGATAAATGTCCAAAAAATCTTAAAATAAAACACAGTGTGCTTGTTTCATGGTCAAATGATCTTGTAACAGTCCTGGTGTGAATCTGGTTAGCTCCCATTGACCTCTTTTTGTCATTTCTTGTAGTATCACTTGTTGGACTGCACTTTATTTTAAGCACGTTTTGCCCTACATGCCCCGCTTGCTTAAAGTGTGAAGGACCCTTATTTGTCTCTGTGACCAACCTGCTGACCTGCTGCTGAGGCCTCATCATCGGAACACTAGTGTGTGTGTGTGTGTGTGTGCGTGTGTGTGTGTGTGTGTGTGTGTGTGTGTGTGTGTGTGTGTGTGTGTGCGTGCGTGTGTGTGTGTGCGTGTGTGTGTGTGTGTGTGGTCTCTCCGGTCCATATTCACCCCACTCAGGTCAGCCTGACTGAGCTCTGTATTATATATAGCCCGCACATGACCGGCCTAACTCCACCAACTAAGGGGCGCGAATGAGGCTTCGTCACATGTCGCCGCCATCATTCAGCAAAATTAAAAAATCTAAAATCAGCCAATGGCGTCACGGAGAGAGAGAGGATTTTTCCCATGACATAAGCCAAGGAGAGAAACCACATTTTATTTCTCTCGCTTGGTTTGGGACAGAAAGAGAGCGGCGATAGAGATGGTAACGATGAGACGTGGATTGGTGTGAGTGCTCCAGAGAAGGGCAGAGGGATGAGAGCATTGCCTCGGCTCAGACCGGAACATGCCGCTGGGGTGAGCCCGAGTGAGATAGGTCAGTATTTGGGGAGATGTTAATGTGCAAGAAGCTATGCAGTAAATGAGAGCATGAGGGAGCAGGGCCCGAAGGCACAGGGTCTTTCAAATGGAGCAGGAGAAAGGAGCGGCCTGAAATATGCATCGGATTCATACAGGAGTGAACGGACAGGATTTGTTTATAATATTAATGTATGGGTTTTTTATGAGGTCTATACACAGTGGGGATAAACTAATGTTGTAGCCACAGCTGCCCTGGGGGATATTTACAGAAGCAAGGCCTCTAACAACCACCACCAACCACCACCAACAACCACCAACAACCACCGCCAACAACCACCACCAACCACCACCAACAACCACCAACAACCACCACCAACCACAACAACCCCCACCAACCACCACCACCAACAACCACCAACCACCACCACCAACCACCACCACCAACAACCACCAACCACCACCAACAACCACCACCAACCACCACCAACAACCACCGACAACCACCAACCACCACCACCAACAACCACCAACCACCACCACCAACAACCACCACCAACCACCACCAACAACCACCGACAACCACCAACCACCACCAACAACCACCGACAACCACCAACCACCACCAACAACCACCGACAACCACCAACCACCACCACCAACAACCACCAACCACCACCACCAACAACCACCACCAACCACCACCAACAACCACCGACAACCACCAACCACCACCAACAACCACCGACAACCACCAACCACCACCAACAACCACCACCAACCAGCACCAACAACCACCAACCACCACCAACCACCGCCAACAACCACCACCAACCACCACCAACCACCACCAACCACCACCCACAACCACAACAACCACCAACAACCAGCACCAACAACCACCAACCACCACCAACCACCGTCAACAACCACCACCAACCACCGTCAACAACCACCAACCAACACCAACAACCACCACCAACCACCACCACCAACCACCGTCAACAACCACCAACCAACACCAACAACCACCACCAACCACCACCACCAACCACCGTCAACAACCACCAACCAACACCAACAACCACCACCAACCACCACCACCAACCACCACCAACCACCACCAACCACACAATGACAGTTTATTATGTACAATTACATTCAAAGTGACAACAGTGCGAGTTTACAGTCCTAGTGCAGGGCATCAAAGTGACTCATTGTACAGTCTGACAGCGATGACATTTCAGTTCAATATTTCTATTTAGGAAAGTGAAAAAATGCAGAATGATGAATCTACTTTTTCAAATAGCAGGGTCACTTTCTGGAATTACTTCTGTTTCTCACTTTTGTAAAGGTGTCAAAACCAATTTGTTTTTGGAACAAAATGCTGCCTCCTTAAACATTTCAGATCCAGGCAGCTAGAATCTAGAACGGTCTTCCTGAAAATGTGAGACAGGATTCTTCTCTGACCATGTTCAAATCCAGCTCTGTGTAGCTGCATACGAATGAGGGATTTCACTTTACTCTTTTTCAATATTATGTGATTATTGGTGATTTGAATGCTTTCTATGGTTGCAATATAACTGTGCTACACCAATAAACTGGTCAAACTGTTACATGTTTGATCAAATCTCCACAAGTACCTGAGAGTTACACAATCCCATTAGTCTTTCTCCTTTTCTCTTTGGGCCATTGTTGTGTTCTGTATTTCTGGGTAGAATTGGTCCATTATGAAAAGCCTAAACAGGGCAGAGACTTCTTAGCTCAAACTATTTCTTAAAATCCCCTTCACTGGTCGAGGTCTCGCTGTGAGTCTAAAAAGGTTTCAATTTAAAACAATGAGAGATATTTTTTCATTCAGGGCACTGCTGAATAATTTCTTTTTCGCTATATAATTTGCACCACAAGGGATTTCTTTGGTGATGGACGGCATTTAGAAATCTTAAGAAATTACTTATGCTCAAGATTCTCGACAGAGGCTTAAAAGTCTCCATTATATTGGCCAAAAATGTATGAAAGGTAAAGAATAGAAGTGTAAGGAGGCATTTTTGACTAATTGGAGAGCCTGAATACTCACAGAAGGGATCCATAATAAGTTACATTTTATAAAATATGAAACACGTTAAAATCTTACAAGAATGATTAACTCGGATGTGTACAGCTGTTTTTCTAAAGTAATAAGATATAATCATTTGTTATTTAAGAGCACTGAAGTCTATGTTGGGTCAGAAAATGTAGGACTTTCAGTAAATCTAAAGTTGAGCTGAATCAGAAAAACTAAACCCAAAAATATTAAAGGATTAATGGTGTAAGCCAGGATTCCGTGAGGGCTGTGATCAACGATTATTTAGGTCATCGATTGGTTGGCCGGTTATGCTCTGTATTAATCAATTAGTTGTTTGGATCACAAAAGGTCAGTGAAAATGGATTTTATAAGTGGGAAGAGCAAAG